AACTTCCAGGGACCCAGGTAGGAGGATCCCAAACTTTGTCCTCTTCTCCAAGAGTGGAGAAAACTCAACACTGAAGGTAAATCCTCTGTCCACCACCCCAGCGACTGGGAACTGGGTGTGGTAAGGACTCCCAAGCTTCACTAGTAGAAGTAAGGGGGGGGGACATAAGCATTGGGAGTCCTGAGGAACAGGTCTCCGGAGACAGTGCAACAGGTGAATCACGTTCCCTAATTTGTAAAAGCAAACTGATTTTGACTGATTCAGCATTAAAAGATCAGCAGGGACTGCTGATCCCCTTTCGCTTTACTTATGATAGTCCAGGAATAGCAGTCCATTAGAAATATTGTAATATTATATCACCATCCAGAATTGCGTCCAGATGCTCTTATGGAATGCCTCATCTCAACAGAGCCCATTGTAACCAGGAACCAAAATAAAGGTTGCTAGTGTGGAATTTAAATACAAGCATACCCAACTGGTCAACACTCACCACTGAGTGAGATACAAAAGAAATCAATAGGGACCCTAGAAGAGAAAAGAACAATAACTCAGAACAACAACAATAAGTCATATAACACGTTACTCACCACCCTGTTAAAATCTAGTAGAGATAGTCAACACAGCCACAGGGGGAAGATGAAGTTCCTTTGTAGAGGAAACTGCCAGATCGTGAAGGTAATGAGATATGAATGTGTCTGGAGAAATCCACATATTGGCCCACAAAATATCTTTCAAGAATAAGGATGGAAACAATTAAGAGAACCAATGAACGAGGAGTGGAAGGAGGGGGCCTAGAGACACAAAGGGATGAACCCGCAGAAGTACCAGTGGAAGTAAAATAGAGTCAAGAGCCAAAAATGATAAAGACTGCAAACGTGCTGTATCAACTCTGGCCTCTAAAGATTATGGACTCCAGCAAATAAATAAGGCTAAAGAAAAAGCACTTCCCATGAATCTCAAAGGGCAGAAGAAGGTAAGTGAATACCCTCTAAAAAATACAAGTCCCAGCAACAGACCAACCACGACACCAAGGCAAGTCTTGAAGAGAACAAACATATCATAGTAGTGACAAGTAAATGGCCCAGGTCATCATCAAAGTGTTGAGGCGATCGGTGATATGCTTCAGACAAAAGTTGAAGGGAAGAGAGCATCTTAAAACAGTATTAAGAGTCAAACAAATCCACAAAAATTGCAACCTGTTAAGGGAGATAACAGGTGCATGCCTGGCACCCCATAGATCCAACCTTTGAGTGTCCAAATATATATATACATATATCATCCTGACTATGATATGTCAGGGCATGTTGTTCAGATAAACGAGGGAGGGAAGGCAGAGCGATACCCTCATGTAATTATGTTAAAAACCTCCCTGCATGCACAGCAACATCAGGAGAAGGAGGAAAACTAAGTAATCCTTTTGAGAATGATCGGACAACAAAAAAGGGGTAGACTCAAAAGTAACTGGTTGCAACTCCAAAACTTCACAAACATGTGTAACTAACTGCAGAAAAGGTGGCTGATCAGATGAGTCCTCAGTGGAAGAAGCTCTAGTGAAAGAAGGAGCAGGAAACAGGGAGTCTAAATTCTCCCCAGAATATCCCATTTCAGAATGTAATTTAAATAGGCACCTTCTGGAGAGATACACCCGGGTCGCATGAAGGACTCTATCTTGCCATGAATCAGGCCACGGATAGTGTCCCCCCCTGACTGCTAACCAACACTAGGTAACAGAGGAGGAACAGATGAAGGCTGAGTAGCCTCCGTGCTTGAAACCTTTACACGGGAATTCATTTTTCTTTCATATATATGTAGGAAAAACAAATTCAATGAAGTATATCTCTGGATAACAAAACAAAGAATTCCTGATTATTAGAAAGCGACAACTAGGAAAATTTAAATTGCAAAACATCAGTTTGAATGCTTGTGTGTGAGGGCCAGCATAAAGTTTTGCAAATTACATATTGCTGAAGGCAGTCAAGTGAGGTATATAAAGACTGGAGCAAGTGAACACAGTGTTAGATGGCAAAGATGAAGATTGAGAAATAGCTATTAGTGTTAGTGTAGGTATGTATGTTTTGGAATTTGTGCATGTTTTCTGCATTTTCAAGAGAAAAAATATGTAGGGGTGCAGTCTCCTTAAAATAATTTGCATTACTTTTATGGTAAAACATTTAATGTGCATTACAAGAGCTTGAAAAAGATAGCCCATTATGGACTGAAGTTCACTTTTACTTGTAGACTTTCACCATGGGCACATCTACTTAATTTGTAAAAACAATTCCCAAATTACCTTCTAACTTTTTACCCTAATTCACTTATAATAAATATTGTCTCATGGCCTCAGAATTGGCTTTCTGAAAATCAGGAACTAAAACAGAATTTTTTAAAACCTCAACCTGAAATATAATTAATGAATGATAACTTCCATGAATGTTCTCCCACTTCACCTCTTTGTAACTACATCCTTATTAGTTATTCACAATAAATCTAAAAGGGCACCCACTCTGGTTGGTTTTTGACCATTTAAAATCCCTTCCAGAAGCTTCCCTCCCTCACTACTTGATTGGACACAATCCCAATAAATATAGTTAAAATTGAGCTATTGCATCAGTATCCTTATCAGTAAAAATCCTGATTTCATTATATAATTTGAATAAGTTAATTAAGTTTCACACTTCCTTGCCAAAAGTATTGGGAGGTATAATCTCATAGGTGTAGCTTGTGTTAAAAAGTTCATGACTGAATAGGTTCCAAAAAATGTGCATGTCCTAGACAAACCAAGACTTCTTCCACTCTCTAATTGTTCTCAAGATACTATGACATGAAAGAACAACCTAGGAGACCAAATATTCAGTTTTCTATTTTACCAAATTTAACATGAAAGTACAGCTACCAAGTTCAGTCTGAATACTTTTCACTTGAATTATCCTATATGTCATCAAAAAGAAAAGATAAACAGGGCTCTGCTATACAAGTTACTTAGAACCTATAACTATATCAAGCTAAGCTTAATCTTAACTATTACAAAGCTTGATTCTCTGAACAAAGCATGCTTTTAAACTCAAAAGTTGTCAGTGTCATCTAAAAATTCCATCCACCACTTATTTTACTACAGATATCAAATTCAATGATTTTGAAGGAATGTAACAGAAGGTAAAAATTGATTTTCAGACTTGGACTTGAACCCAGGACTCCAAGCTTAAAAATACTTAAACTAGCCATTACCATTTGAGCCATTGAAACAGCAAGCAAAGCCAAAGTTATTTTACTCTCCACTCCAAATTGTCTGATAATTTTGTCAGGAGACTTAATGTATTAGAAAACAAGCCTTGTTGTCCATATATTATTAACATACATAGTAAATCACACAAAAAATATGCATTATTAGATTACAAAACCTTCATCAAAGATATGCCAAAATTGAAAATTATATACTACAACTTAGCTAATTAAGAACAAAATTCATTCTATTTGCTTGTTAATTATGCTTTAATAGTTATAAAAGCAAGTTACATGGCATCTAACTACGCACTTAATAAAAACAAAATCTGATAAGTTTATAATAGCAGTTTCCACATAATAACATCATAATGCTGTACTACACTTGTACATTACATGTGTTAACTTTAAATGTCATCATAAAGTGTACCACTAAAATGTAATAAACATTTAGGAAACTGATCTGAAAAAAGTCTAATAAATTTTCAGAGTACAAATTACATTAGACCATCACTCAATCATCCACTTACCAAATGACATAACATTTACTATATAAACAAACTGTTTACACTTTTTTATCTCCTTTCATATTAGTTTATCATTAAAATTACAGCACATATAATACACAATAGCCAGATACCTGTTGGCTGGGAACAATCTTTTAAATACTAAATACCCTACAGTCCAAAAGTTTGAATATTTATGAGCCAAAACAACAACAATAATAATAATGATAATAATTAATAATAACAACAACAATAATAATAATTTCAAAAAATCTATCATAAATTATATGTGTATATATATACATATATATATAATATTAATTATCATATATGAAAGCTTATCAGTATTCATGGTCAAAAAATTATGTACTGCTGGGTATCTAGTATTTCAAACACATACATCAACATACACTAAACAAGAATGAAGATCAATATTTGTTTTTTCCAGGGAATGTTTCACTTAGATCATTTCATCAGGCTTGAAGATAAACCAGTCACATAATTTATTATTACTCATTCTCTAAGTCAAGTGAGAGGTGACCATAGTTCGTCAATATTCAAATTTTTGGACTGCTGGGTATTTAGTGTTTGAAAAATTGTTCCTGGCTGCCAAGTATCTAGCCATCGTGTATATAATAATAATTACATGTAGCTACCTCTCAATAACACTACCTTCAATTAAAAGCTTTATGTATGTGCACTTGGTTAAAAAGGGTGCAGGAAATTCATAATAAATAAATAAAAGTAAAATGCAATTGTATCACGATGTTTAATAACAAAATGAAACTGCAAATTTTAATATTATAACTATAGAGCCAGAAGCCTAGAAGCATTTTACTTGTACAAATGATCAATCAACTAATTAATGTAAATTTATTATTATACGATAATAACATGACACAAAATGAAACTTGACTCTTCAGCTGTAAAATACATCGCATGTCATTTGGTTCTCATATACAGTGGGTCATCCAAGACCCTGGTTTCATTTCATTCATAATCATAGCAATACTTCCTGGTATTACTATTGGTAATAGTAAGATATTTCACTTAAAAGTACACGACTTCCAGTAAACTAAGTAATAGTAATACTAATAGGCCTAGGCCTATAATTAGGTGACTCATCTCATTCTCTCTCATATTTATGTTATAACTTATACAACTATAGATCTAGTACTATGCTATGGTCAGTTAGTTAATTCAAAGCAGTAACTTTTCTAACTTCTATTACTATAAGTTATTACAGCTTAAAATTAATATATAAATACAATTCACCTTGAGTCGTGATTTCATAACTCTTCCATTTCTGTGATCATCTAAAGCATCAAATGCATGCCAAACTGCGTTACTCACATCTTTAGTGAAAGCGGCCATGTTTCAATTTCATGTTGGTGTATAGAAAACCTGATATGGATTAAATTTTACTTTCAATATTTTTTAACAAGAACGTATTCCAAAAAAATTAAGATAGTGTCACTTTCAAGCAACACTGATAGTAATATGAAACTTTCGAAGGAAAAATTCTATGGATCATGTTAGTTCAAAAAACGATTGGTGTAGTTCATCGAAAGCTTAGCTGGTCACCACACCCAAACAACCGCCCAGAAAGTAAAAATCGTAATCATGTGATTAGTCATCAGAGGTTGACTGGGTGTCTGGGTCATTTAATACATAGATGGTGAGAACTGGCACATTATAAATTAACAAGTAGCTTAGATGGACTGAAATTTTCTAAGTATATAGACTGATTTGGTATCTGATCTTACAAAGTTCTCATTATTTTTTTTAACTTTATACAGCCAGTTTTTATGTGTTGTGTCATGTATCTGAAATGATTTGGTGTAAATTATAACAAAGCGAAAATATAAAGTATTTATTTTTGTATGCGTGTTAATTCTAACAAATACAAGATATAAATTATTATTGGTTTCAACTTTGTCAGCTAATGTCACTAATTAGTCCCAATCATTATTTTGGGTGATACTACATTTACAGCTCACAATTAATAATAGTTTTAATACATAGATTCTCAAAGTACACAACATTACTTTTTAACTTGTCATGTAAGTTAATAACTTATTAAATTTCATGTAATAAAAAACAGTTTTAACTTGGTGAAAAGTTCTACACCTTAATTAATTTAACTGGCAACATCCTATTGTTGTAACGTGTTTTATCGTTGGGCTGGTTCTTTTGGATTATTTGGTAAAAATTATGCCAAGTCCAGTCCACATAATGATAACAAACTAGTTTATTTCGTTCTTATCGTTTGTTACAGAATTCTTTCACTTGTAATTGTAGGCTTAAGTGCACAAACAACGTTTGAACAGATATTCCGAAACTAGTGGCAAGTATTCCTAACTCACAAATAAACTTACAAAATTTCCTCACTAATCGATCAAATAATTGAATAGACGCGAACGAATATCTCTCACTTCTAACACTCAATAACTTTTCTGACAGTGAATATTTATTAACTGCTCCTTACTTCACCGATTCTTATGCTTACAAATAATATACCTTTGTTTCTATATACTCCATGAAATTTCTAGATGATTATACCATCATCATCATTAACTCCCTCTAGCAAACATCTAGATTAAAGTATTAAAAATATAGCTCACAACATTATTATAAAGTAGTACCCACTACTAAGCAAAAATTATGTCTTCTTTCTATGCAGCGTATGAGCATTATCTTTCTTTAAACCATTGGATTTAGAGCACAATCTTACATTATATTGTTGTAAGCTATATATTTCGTAACACTATCCATTGTTTTAATTTAGACATTTGTTAGAGAGTACATGACGTTCAGATCAATTAAGTTAATAAAGATAGTCCTATACACGCACGTACGCATGGAGAGGTGATTGCGGGGGTTAGGCTGAACCCGCTATTTTGTGATGTAAAAATTATGCTTATATAGTTATAGCGCAGTTGCTTATGGCATTTAACGTTTTCTACATGGTCTACGTTCTTCTTATAGCTTTCCATACCTCTCCATAAAAGGCCCCAGATACTGGCTAACTGCTTAAAAGCGTACTTCAGTGTACCACATCTCTCTCTATATATATATGTATATATATATAAAGCACAAAAATCTGTGTGTTTGTTTGTCCATTATCTAACTACTTCTACGTTGTTGGGCCAATCTCAACCAAACTTTGTGAGATGATAGTTTGGAATAAGGGACATGTTAATGGGGGTTTAGAACCAGGGCCACCCCCATTATTGCTGTTCTTGAACAGTTGTTATCTTTGACTTAAGTTAACCTTAACTACATTCATAGATGTGGCCACGTCCTTACACACACACACAAACTTTATTAAATTTCCTATAGCACAACATACACACAGTGTGAGGGGAGGGCATGCAAAACGTCTCATATATCTCAGAGAGTGCGTTGGTATTTTCTATGGAGGAATGCAAGAAAAACAATGGCTACCACTATTGCAATAATACATAAGCTCAAACAGTTACTATAAGGCTAATATGAAGAACCGTTTTTTGAGTTATACCAACTTCCCACTTTGATCTGTGACGTTTCAACTTCAGCCCATAAGATACCTTTGTGGCCAATAACCATCTATTAATTAATAGCGTGAAACAATGTGGAAGGACACGAAGAGCTGGATGTTGAAATCAGATAACAGAAACCACCCCTACCACCACTACTTTGGCTGCTAACTCTTTCTATAGAGTCACCCTGACCATCACACAGTGTATACCATATTTCAAATATATTGTTGCGTCAGCGAGGTCACGTGACTAGTATCACGCCACGCCTTTCTCGAACTTTCGTGAATTGTCGAGAGACTACTAGATTGGGGGTAGCCTGGTATATATATAAGACGGTCACAACGTGACGGAACAAGGCGTAATTGAACTGAGTATTGTTGAAGTCGAGCATGTGAGACGTTCGTTGAGAATTATAGCGTTTGTTATAGCGCGACTGTTGAAATTAAGTGTATCGCAAAGTTGTATTCAGAAAGAATAAACCAGTTTTATTAAAGAAAGGACTTGTGTCACTAAAGTTTCGTCGGAACGAATTTACGGAAAATTAACTAACGAACGGAGACGTAACAATATGCATATTGAATTCTTAAAGCTTATAGAAAAGTTTTGGTGAGATAATAATGAATAATATAATAATATGCTACCTTATAAATAAATTGTGTGATAGTTGGGATTTTTGTGTTATTTTTCATAGCATCCATTCACACATTTTTTTAAGTTCATAAATAGGAAAAAAATAACAATTTCAATGGAAAGTAGGGATCATTAGTTATTCATAGAATTGCTATAACAAGTACCCAAAACAAAATAATTGCTGAAATACAAAGTACACAAACAAGTAAAGTGATACTAGTTGGATAGATTTTAAAACGATTTTCAATCCTTACTTTGGTTGGCATTGTGATCTGTATAGCTAAATGAAGCAATCTAAATCGTTTTAAAGTCAATCCAACTTGTATCAATTTACTTAGGCCTGGCATGGCCAGGTGGTTAGGGCACTCGACTCGCAATTTGCGGGTACAAATCAAACCAAATATGCTCGCCCTTTCAGCTGTGACAGTCTTTCACACTATTCGTTGGTAAAAGATTAGTCCAAGAGGTGGTGGTGGGTGGTGATGAATAGCTGCCTTACCTTCCACTGCTACATTAGGGATGGCTAGTGCAGATAGCCCTTGTGTAGCTTTGCATGAACTTCCAAACAAATCAAACGAAAAAACACTTTACTTTATTTTGTTTTGGATAATTTTTATAGCAATTCTACGAATAACTAACAAGCCTCACTTTACATTAAAATTTTATTTTCCTATTTATTTGTTCATTTTTTTGTCCATGAAATGGACGCAACATCTATAAACTTTCAGTATAGCCATATCCCTGATATCTATAACTTTTACGAGAATTAAAATTACAACCACAAATTTATAAAATGTAAAACTTTCTTTGGCCTACTGATAAATGTATAAAGGTGCCAAAGTAGGGATTAAATTTTATAAATTTGTGATTGTGGTTTTAACTCTTGCTTCATTACTTTTTGCAGCAGGATTCCTACTTCATTTTAAAAGTCATCATTTTCAGAACTTTTTACTTTTTATGTTATACCTGTATAAAGTATATACTTTACCTTTAGAAACTGTCGTGTGTCTATCCATCGATATGCAGCGCCATCTGTTTGGTTGAAAAGATATTGAAGTACGTGCATGATATGTTTACTATTCATACTTTTTTTATATATTTATCGGAATATCAAAAGACCAATCAAGTAAGCTGAAGAAATCGTGTAGGATAGTCCAAGCCATCTAGGGCTAGACCCGCTGACGAGATCAGGTAGGTAGTAGACGAAAAAGTTGCTGTTTTAGAAATTTTTGAATTGTTATACCAGAAACGTTAGCAACCTTTTTAGCGTATTATTAGTTTATATGCGCATACTATATCATAACCAATACTTTCAATGGTTGGTTTTTCGCTTATAAATTGAATACGGTGATTTTTCGGCATGTGAGTTATTTGGAAACCTTGTCGATTCCTACTATAAAGTACTACCGTACTTAATAATAACCCGAACAAAGAATGGGTTCCTCAGCTTGTACCTTTGTATTACTGAAACGTATGCCACACTGCTACTAAGTTCATGTTCATGTGAACATTCAGCATCTGTTCTCCACTGGTTGAATAATTACCTGAGGTGTACACAAACAAAAGAAAGACCGAGGGCACAAGCTTTAATGTATAATTATTATCACACTGCTATCTACATTGAAACTGTTATTTATGGAAAAGCACCCCAGAAAAATGGAGCATGCTAATACTATTTCAGTAGTGCATACATGTGCATATGTGATAGTTAATGATTGAAATAACTAATATACTATGGTAATACAGCGTTGTTTAAATTAGTAATATATGTTAACAATTAATAACTACCCTGCATGTAGATACTACAGTACTTTACCATAATAAGACATATATATATATATTTATACTAATACAAGTTTAGCTCCCCATGTAGAATGATTCTTTGTTGACTTTTTATTCGATGTTTGTGGATTTTATGTGAACAGCCACGCAATTGTTTAAGCTAAATGCCACGCAAAATTGTTTCCAGATTCAATGTCATAGTACCTATTTTTTTACAAATCCTCTGGGGGCATACCCCCAAATCCCCGTAGTACTAGCTTGCTTTGTATGCTGATTGTGCTTCGCATAATAAGTGTTGGCTTTTGTTCTCACAAATGAAGCCCCCCACCCCCACCCCGAAACATTCTGCGAAGGACCTGCTATAATAGTTAGAAAGTTCACCGTGACCTCAAGAATCTAGCAACTTAGACAAGGGTAACATAGGCCTGTAATGGTTTTATTGTCGTGAAGTTTTTACATGTTATACAGTAATTCCTGTACGCTGAATCCGAAAATGATATCCATTTTCTCCATCACGTACAGATTTATCACAAAACGTCATAACGCAAAACATAAAAGAAAGACCACAACACCTAGTTTTGAGACTAAAAGCCGTAGATTGAAAAAAAATATCAGGATGAATGAGGATGCATATTCGTTTGACATCAATGTTCTTCCCTTTTCTTCAGTTTGTTTGTCTTTTTGTTAACAAACA